GTGCTGGATTTTCCCAAAGACTTTTTCTGCATCTAGTAATATCATCATGGGATTTTTGTTTTTCATCTTGTTGATATGGTGGATTACTTTGATGGATTTTCGTATGTTGAACCATCCCTGCATTCCTGGGATGAAACCTACTTGATCTTGGTGAATGATTGTTTTGATGTGTTCTTGGATCCTATTTGCCAGTACTTTATTGAGTATTTTTGCATCAATGTTCATAAGGGATATTAGTCTGAAGTTCTCTTTTTAGCTGTGTCTTTCTGTGGCTTGGGGATCAAGGTTATTGAAGCATCATAGAAAGAGTTTGGCAAAGATCCTTCTGCTTCTATTGCATGGAATAATTTGAGAAGAATTGGTATAAGCTATTCTTTGAATTTCTGGTAGAATTCTGCACTGAAGCCATCTCTACCTGGGTTTTTATTTTGTTGGGAGACTTTTGATGACTGCTTCTATTTCCATCAGGGTTATAGGTCTATTTAAATTGCTTATCTGTTCTTGATTTAATTTTGACAAATTATAGCTATCCAGGAAGTTGTCCATTTCCTTTAAATTTTCAAATTTTGTGGAGATCAGGTTTTCAAAGTATGACCTGATGATTCTCTTAATTTCCTCAGAGTCTGTTTTTATGTCCCATTTTTCAGTTCTGATTTTGTTAATTTGCATGTTCACACTCTGCTGTTTGGTAAGTTTGGACAAAGGTTTGTCTATCTTGTTGATTTTCTCATAGAACCAACTCTTTGTTGCATTGATTCTTTGTATTGATTTGCTAGTTTCTACTTTGCTGACTTCAGCCCTCAGTTTGTTTATTTCCTGGTGTCTACTCCTCCTGGGGGAGTTTGCTTCTTTGTGTTCTAGAACTTTGAGCTGTGCTGTTAATTCTCTAGTATAACTGTTCTCCAGTTTCTTCATGTAGGCACTTAGTGCTATCAACTTCCCTGGTAGCACTACTTTCAAAGTGTCCCATAGGTTTGGGTATGTTGTGTCTTCATTCTCATTTAATTCTAGGAAGTCTTTAATTTGTTTTTTATTTCTTCTTTGACCCAGGAATAGTGCAGTTGTGCATTATTCAATTTCTATGAGTTTGTAGGTTTTATGCAATTTGTGTTATTGTTAAATTCTAATTTTAACACATGGTAGTCTGATAAGATACATGGAGTTATTCCAATTTTTGTATCTACTGAGTTTTGACATGTTGCCAAGTATGCGGTCGATTTTTGAGAAGTTTCCATGTCATGATGAGAAGGTATATTCTTTTTTATGTGGATAGAATGTTCTACAGATCTGTTAATCCCAATTGGGTCATAACTTCTATTAGATCCTTTGCTTCTTTGTTGAGTTTCTGTCTGGTATTCCTGTCTAGTGGTGAGACTGGGTTTTTGAAGTCTCCCACTATAAGTGTATAGGGCTTTATATGTGATTTGAGTTTTAGTAATGTTTCTTTTATGAATGTGGATGTCATTGTATTTGGCCCATAGATTTTCAGAATCGAAACATTTTATTAATGTTTCTTTTATGCCCGGATAGCTCAGTTGGTAGAGCATCAGACTTTTATTCTGTGTGTTTACTGTTTTGATTATTATGTAGCAAGGAATTTTTTTCTGGTCCAGTCTATTTGGTGTTCTGTAAGCTTCTTAGACTTTCATAGGGATACCATTTTATGTTAGGAATGTTTTCTTCTATCGTTTTGTTGCATATGTTTTCTGTGCCTTTGTTTTGTGCTTCTTCTCCATATTCTATCCCTATTATTTTTAGGTTCAGCCGTTTAATGGTGTGCCAGATTTCGTGAATGTTTTCTGTTTACAATTTTTTTTTGATTTAGCATTTTCTTTGATTGATGATTCTGTATCCTTTATCATATCTTCAATGCCTGAGATACTCTCTTCCATCTCTGTATTATGCTGGAGATGCTTATCCAGATTTACATCTACAGAATTCTCTAGATTTGTGTTTTCTTCATTGCTTCCGTTTCAATTTCAAAGACTTGAGCTAGTTCCATTACCGGTTTGATTCTGTCTTCTTGGTTTTTTGGCTTTCTTTAATAGATTTGTTGATATCTTCCAATTTTTGTCTTTTCCTCTGTTTCTTAAAGGAATTTATCATTTAATCTTTATGGGGCTCTATCATATTCAAAACGTTATATTTAATGTCATTTTCTTCTACTTCATCTCTATTGAGATATTCAGGTCTCCCTGTTGTAGTACCACTGGGTTCTGGTGGTGCAATATTCCCCTTTATGTTGTTAAATATATTCTTACACTGGTGTTTACCCATGTTTTCTTGCAACTACTGTACATGGTACTTATGCCTATGGAGGCTTCTATACTTCTAGTTTTTATGGGTGTGATTGGGGAGTTGTTGGGGAGAATGGAGGATCAGAGAGAGAGGAAAATGGGATTGGTATGAGAGATAAGACTGTTTCTAATTTAAATTTAAAAATTAATTGAAATTCAAAATGGGGCTGGAGAGATGGCTCTCAGGTTAAGAGTGCCGACTGCTCTTTCAGAGTCCTGGATTCAATTCCAAGCAACCACATGGTAACTCATAATCATCTATAATGAGATCTTGTGCCCTCTTCTGGCCTCTAGAGATACATGCAGGCCGAATGCTGCACACATAATAAACAAATCTTTTACAAAAATTTCAAAATATAAAATGGTTTATTAAACCAATCATGGTAACACATATTTATACAATTTAAATGAATATTTCACAACAAGGGGATATTCAACAATATGAATCATTCATCCCTAGGAAATATTTGTATATTTTTAGAACTACCTGTATTGGATAGGGTTTTCTCTTACTATGAAGAGATAACACAGCAAAGGCAGAACTTATTAAGAAAAATTTTAACTGAGGTAACTCACTTATACTTCCAGAGTTTCAGTCCATTATTATCTTGCAGGCAGCAGGAAGTCAGCTGGCTGTCACACTTAGGGAAGCTTGAGCAAAAGAGACCTCAAAGGCATCCCCCACAGTGTCATACTTCCTCCAACAAGGCCACACCTCCTAATAGTGGCTTTCCCTTTCAGGTCAATTTCCTTTCAAATCACCACATTATACTCCCTAGCTCCCAAAGCCTTATACCCATAATATAATGCAAAAATGCGTGCAGACCTGCTCAAAAGTCCCCATAATCTGTAATAGCTTTAAACTACTTTCAAGACACAAAGTCTCTTCTGAGATGCATGGCAATGTCTTAACTGTAATCTGCCTATCAAACTCAACATAAAAGAGAAGGTCACATACTTTCAACAGATCATGGCACAGGATATACATTACCATTCCAAAATGTAGGGAAGGGAGCATAATGAGGAAATATTGAACCAAAGTAAAACCAAAAGTCAGCTGGGAAAACTCCAAATTTGCATCTCTATGTCTGATGTCAAAATGCTCTTCAGATCTCCAACTCCATTCCAGTTTGACTGCAACACACTTCTTTCTCTTGAACTAGTTCCACTCCTAGGCAGATATCCCACAACTCTCGCCTCTCTAACATCCTGGGTTCTCCAAGGAAATCCAGGCTTCAACTTCACGGCTTCACTCAAAAGCCTCTCTGCTATACCTCCATTCAGAAACACCCCTATCACAAGTCAGACCTCAGAAGTTTGCTATAGGTACACTGGCAAATTCCATAACTGATTTCTATAATCCTTAACTCTGAACCCAGAATTATGTAACCTGTTTCTTCTATTCTTAACTCTGAAGCCAAAATTATATGACTAAAGCTGCTAAGTTCTTCTGGATACTGGGAATGTAACACAGCCACTTACTCAATTAAATATTCACCAGCTTTCTATCTTTTACTACCTAAGCTTGCCTGTCTGAAAGGGATATATAGATTAGGCTGGGCGCAAACTCAGAGATCCACCCACCTCTGCATTCTGAGTGCTGGAATTAGAGTACCATCACAACAGGCCAAAGCTTGTATTTAATTTCTTTTTACAAGGTGGACACTTGGTTGGGTGGGATCTTGCCCTGAGGTCACCACTCCCTTTATTCCAATTCTTAATCTAATTATCTTATTGAATACGGGCTTTAGGTCCATTCTACTTACTGGTGCTCTATTTGCCTCAACATATACTTTTTGTAATTTACCATGCTCAACTTGCTACTTTTCATTATATATCACCATTACAGTTACCACTAATATCCACACAACAGAGTACTACTAAGCTGTTTTAGAATTTCTTCTGCGAACAAAATTAATTCAAGTGTCTTAACTTTAGGAACAAGTAGACTTTTGAGACAAGGACAAAAGGCAGCAACTTCAACAAATATCACAAGAAGGATCTCTAGGCAGCCCACTAAAATTCTTTTCTGAAACCTCCTGAGTGAGTACCAACAGTTCAAATTATTCTAAGCACCTCTGTTTTCTAAGCTGCTATTAGTATGGCCCATTAAACAGTGCTTAAAGTATTCCTACATTCATAACCCAAAGTACCAAACCTAAAAATCCTCCAAACAAACACTTGGTCAGGCATATCACAACAGTTCCACATTCTCTGGCACTAACTTCAGTCTTGATTGGAGTTTTCTATTGTTATGAAGAGATACCACTACCTCAGCAACGTTTAATTGGGATGATTTGCTTATAGTTTCAGAGGATCAGTTCATTATCATTATGACAGGGAACATGACAGTGTACAGGAAGATGTGGTGCTGGGGCTGAGAGAAATTCAACTTTCAGGCAACAGGAAATGGATTGGCTGTCACATTGAAGGATTCTTGAGCAAAAGACATCTCAAAGGCCACCCTCACAAAGAACACTTTTTCCTATAAGGCCACACCTGCCAATACTGCCATTCCCTTTGTGGGAATTTAATTTCAACCCACAACACAATCCATCCCCACTAGGAGCAAATTGAATGACTACCACTGCATCACACAATATTGTGAAATATCAGTTAGTGATAATGTTAAACATTAGCTAGAATTATACATATAGTTAATATATAAGTATATAAATGTAAATATATAAAGAATTTCAATGATTAGAATGTTCTTCTAAGAATGTTGCTTAAAGCAGTTTTAATGTCCTTGTTCCTCAGGCTGTAGATGAAGGGATTCAACATAGGTGTGACGACAGTGTACATCACTGAGGCCACTGCATTACTTTTTGGGGAAAGTGACAGGGAGGAGCTGAAGTACACCCCTACTCCTGTTCCATAAAACAGGCAAACAATGGATAAAAGAGAGCCACAGGTGGAGAAGGTTTTGTGCTTCCCACTTGATGATGATGATCTCATGATGGAGGAAACTATTTTAAAGTAAGAGAAAATGATTCCTGAAATAGGAAGTAACCCAAAGAGAGTGCCTATACAGTATCTAACTATGTTATTGGTGATAGTATCAAAATTGGCAAGTTTAAGGACTTCAGAAGGGCCACAAAAGAAGTTGGAAATTTCAGTAATAGACCCACAGTTGGAAAATTTTAATATTGACACATAGTGCAACAGTAATTCTACCAGGCTAAGGAGAAAAGAACCTAGAAGTAAGACACCACAGCAATTCGGATTCATAATGGCCTGGTAATGCAGAGGATGGCAGATGGCCACAAATCGATCAAATGCCATTGCAGTCAGAAGCATGCTATCCATACATGCAAAAATTATGAACAGTGACATCTGCGTCAGGCAACCCACATAGGAGATGACTCGACAGTGTACATGGATGTCTAAAATCACCCGTGGAACAGTGGTAGAGATAAAACCAATATCAACCATGGACAGGTTGAAGAGAAAAAAGTACATGGGTGTGTGGAGATGGGAGTCAGAGCTTACTGTCAGGATGATGAGCACGTTTCCAAACAGGGCCAAGATGTACATGGACAAGAATAGACCAAAGAGAACAGGCTGTAGGTCTGGATCCTCTGACAGTTGAATGAAGTGCAATTCTGGTACATATGATCTATTCCACATGGTTTCATTTCTTGAACATCTTCCAGAGGAAATCAAAATATTGTGAATAATGGTACGATCATACACATAGATCTTCTTTACAATTTGTGTCAAGTAACTACAAATATTGATATTTTTCAAGCATATTGTGGCATCATTAGTAATTACTCACTTGTGGCAAATGCCATACTCTAAATAGTCGTTTGTTCATAACTAATGTGTTACCTCTTATGAGAGCCATATGGAATACAGTAATCTAGATGATGTGAGGCCAGGATTAATGTAAACCAATGGACTGTAGTCACAGTAAAATAAAGCCAACACTTTTAAGACAAAATTGGTAATTTGTAGAATCTTTGCTTTAGCAAAATTTCAATCAAATAAAATGAAAACTAAAAATTAAACATAGGTATTTTTATTAAAATAACATGGAATAAATTTATTTTTCTTAGAATATATCTGACAGTGTGAAGTCTGAGTCTCTAAATAATAATTTATGATTCATACCCAGAAACATATTTTCAAGTTCCAATGACTTCAATTGGTTTCTTCCTCTCTTTGACTTAAAAAATGTTCACCATCTTTGTTGGAGTATTAAGCTTTTGTTAAAAACCTATTTAAAATTTTAAAACAAATTAATACATGTATTCCTTATTTCCTTTAGTCTATTTCAATTTTTTATAAATATGTCTTAGTTAAATCCACATTATCACAGAACATTTCTCTTCACAACTACTGAGATGTTCAGTGATGTGAAAAATAATGAAATGTTATTAAATACAGTTGAACTTTTATGCTGCAAAGCCAATTTGGAGAGATCATCTCCACAAAATCTAAGTAAGATATATGCTATAAAAACATGCTTTTCTTTTGTCTATGCAATGCCACTGACTTTCTGAAGTGCACCCTTCTTTACCCAGGGCGCTAGTTTCAGTCCCCACCTCCTCAGACAGTAAAGTGATTCCCATGTGAGTCAGGCCTGGTGCAAAGATGCCAATGTTCTTACTTCCACTACACAGGAAATTTCACATTCACTTCTAGGTCAGAGCACACTGAATTGCTCAAAAGGTCAATGGTTTAATATACAGAAAATATTAGTGATGCCAGAACGTGGGCAATTTTCTAATGGATCCTAAAACCCCTTTCTGTTTTACACTGTAAAGTATTGGAATTTTGATATTATCACATATGCATATCATCCACTTTGCATAATTTTCCCACTTTACCCATGAAAGGAATCCTCCTGTGTGCTAATAAAAATGGTGAAATCTGCCTAGTTACTCTTCTTCCAAGATGATGCAATATGGGATGCACTTGTATGTTGATTATATTTCTATTTGTCTCCAGTGGTGAAGACAATGACCTTTGTGAATCAGTGAGTTCAGACAACATTTATGACTCTTTCCATAGCCACATGTTCATACAAACCAAAGATAACAACCCTTGTCCATTTGCAAATTGATAAAATTTGCATTGTAATTCTTTGTCCAAATTAAAAATCCTATGAATACAAAAAATATGAGTTTATTGGGTAGTATTCCAAAAGGCACTGGACAATAGAATTATTTGAAACTCTAAAGTGTGTCTCCACACAATATACAAAATTGACTTGCCATTTCCTGTTATGCCTGTGCCTCCTTTTATCTTCAGGTGAGAAACATACAGTTTTTTAACAACCCACCAGTGCAGCTATATAATACAATTAGATGACCCAAAGTTCATAACACAGAATCAAACAACAACAAAAAATTGAACTTGAATCAATTTCTAGATCACATTCCTGAATGGAATGAAAATGTAAAGGAAAACAAGTACATGTAAATCAGTGTTGTAGGAGAAGAAAGGGACTACTTAATGTTTAAAATATATATTGTTCATTTCATATCTGTGGCAATGACACTTTAGGCCCTATGAAACCAAAAAATGAAAGTTAAAGTAGTAAATTATATCAATATACGAAAAGTACTTATACAAGGAGAAACGTAAATAGAAAATATTCTTTCTAAAACTTGGTCATATGACAGTTAAGGTGTCTGAGAATTACTAATAGCATCTCCTAATTCACATACACAGATAGCTGAGACAAACTAATTCATACCAAATGTGTCATTCTTTGTTTCTGGAATGTTTGTTTTGTTTTGTTTTAACTTTCTCTGATTATTTTTATATTTCGAATTATAATATAGTAACATTTCACCTCTTCAAACTCCCTATATGAGTCTAACTCACCCCATTTTACTTTGCATTCATGGCTTCAGTGTCAATTCATTATTGCATGCATATATGTGTATCACCATAGACTACTAACCATACAGTTTTAAGGAGATATACAGAGATCTTAACGCAGGTAGCATTTTAAGCTTTCATGTTTTAAACTGGACATGTCCTCATTTCCTCCTTGAAAAGTTAGTGACTGAGCATAATAACGATGGGGGAACACTGACAGCCTCAAAAATATCCAGAAAAATAGAACGCAGCCTTTATAAATCTGTAAACTCCAGAGGGAGAGACCAAATGAGTGCTGGTTTACTGAAATTCTGCAGGAAACAGGATGCGACCATTTCTTAAATTACTAGAAAAGCTGAGTTGAATTGTTATTTCAATGTTTTGAGACTCTTCCAGATGCACCTCAATATATACCACCTGCAGTTCACACAGCAGAGGTAAACATTCCATTATAAACATCGATAAATCACGAAGGAAGAAGACAAGGATCTTTTATTTTTCAGAATACAGCCTTACACAGTTTCTGCTTACTGAAAAGATCATTGTGTGTTTTGATCAAGAAAGTAATTCATGAAAGACTTCACTCACTTCTGTGTAAACTCATGGTACATGTGACAAATGTATAACAGTCACACACATTTAGTAGCTTCCTTCAAAAGAATAATTACCGGATCACCATCACCAGCATAAACACAATACTTTAGATTGCATATGAAATAATTAAGTGGACTCTATTCTCTGTTCCTTTGGTTACAGGACCGTGGGGAAGGGACACTGGAGAATACTTCAATGAGAATTGAAGGACTGCCATTACAGATATAAAATCCCAGTAAAGAGGCTTAAATTATCATTGCACACATTACACTACCATCCTGACCAAATTATTATAGTTCGTATGACTAGGAAGAAATAATAACTCTTAAAACATAATGTACTCTCTTCTTCATCCTCCATATCCTCAGAACTTACTTGAATAAACCATGGTTCTGTATAGTCATGATGAAGGGTGGTGGATATGATGAGCCTCCCTTGCTTGTTGTCTGGTGATGACTCAAACTCACTCTTGTTTCCTGAAGTGAGCATAGTAGCAAGAGCTTCCTGATGCAGAACCCTATAGGAAGAGCAAATGGGATTGTATAGTCCTGGATTACAGAGATCATGCTGATGGCCTGCAGGGACCTGCTAACTAATTACTGGTAAGAAACCTGACAAACTCAATGCACAGAGTTGGTGATTATTCATACTGGTCCACAATATTGCAATCTCTAAGGAATTCCTGAGGTTAAAAGAGGAAATGGGAGAGATGTTGAAATTTCTCAAGAGGTTAGTGATGAGGTTTATTTGATATCCTAAATATTTTATTTCCACTTTATTTCAGGTTGTACTCTTTAGTAATTTTAGTATTTATTATTATTATTAAATTCTTTTGAATGTACTCCCCTGTGTCTGCAGAAAACTGTTTCTTCCCTCTATGTTAATCCAAATGCCAGTAATTTACCATGCCTATTCTGAAGATTCATGCCAGAGAGATCTTTGACTCTTGGGAAATCCCACTGTTGAGGTTGATCTCTGAACCTCAAAGTGTCTCTTCCAAACTGTTGTCAACAACAGTAACTCCACTGATATCTTTTAGGCCCTAGATCTCTGTGACAATGATAACATGTGCTATTAAGGCTGTTGAGTACATTAATAAAAGTATTGCCCCTGCTCTGGGTAGAGAGAAACTGAATGCTGTGGAAAAAGAGAAGATGGACAAACTGATCACCAAGATGGACGGCACTGAAAATAAATCTAAATTAGGAGCAAAAGCCATAAAGGAAGTTTCCCTGACTGTCTCAAAATCTGGTAACATTGAAAATGAGGTGTCCCTGTACCCTAACATTAATGACTTGGCTGACATCCTTAAGTCATCCTGCTGGTCCCAACTCCAATGTGATCTATGGTGGTCCTCATGATGGCAACAAGCTGGTCCTGCAACAGGTCATGGTGTCGAGGTTCTGTGAAGCCATGTGCACTTGAGCAGAGTTTTATCACAACCTGAAAAATGTCATCAAGAAGAAATAAAGGAAGTAATCCTCCAATGTGAATGATAAGGTCAGACTTGTGCCTAACATCGTTGAGAATGAAGAAGCTTTGGTGTGTCAGAAGGCCACAATTGAGAAAGCCAGGTACACTGATCAGGGTGACATTGTCATGGACATGGCTACCTCTGAATTCTTCAGGTCTGGCAAGTATGACCTGGACTTCAAGTCTCCTATGACTCCAACAGGTACACCCTGCCCGACTAGATGGATAACCTTTATAAATAATTCATATGTGAGTATCCAGTGGTATCCATTGAAGATCCCTTTGCCTAGAATGAGAGGGAGGCTTGGCAGAAATTCACAGCTAGTGTATGTATCCAGGTGATTGGGGATGAGCTCATAATAACCAAACATGCATGAATTACCAAGGCTATGCCAGAGAAGTCTGACTACTGCCTCCTGAACAAGTGAACTAGATCAGTCTCTGGGAAAAAAATCTTTACAGGAATATAAGCTGACCTAGTCCAATGTTCGTATTTCATGCACTCCCATGAGTATGGGGAGACTGATGACATGTTCATAACTAACCTTTTGGTGGAGCTCTGCATCAGCTATATCAAGACTGGTGCACCTTGTTTATCTGAACATGGATAAAGTATAATCAGTTCCTTATATTCA